TTTATTGGACTTACAGGAATATGGGCTAGGGGTCACTTACAGGAGCAGAAATTACTCCAACATAGCTCCGTCATCAGGGCCCACCTCAGCACGTGTGGCAGCTTATGAAAATTGAGAACATGGGACACACCCTATAGCCTCCAGGCAGTTCAGTAGTTGCAGTTTCCCTTCCCCTGTCTGGGTTGGCCTAAGCCTCTTCTGGGCAGCTCTAGTTTCTGCTTCTTCAGGAAGTTTGGCTGGTCCCAGTGTTCTTTGCTGCTTGCCTGGTCTGAGAACGACTCTCTGCAGTTCTTTTGTTTACTTTGGGAAGGGCAGAGGCTAGTGAATCTGGTCAGTTTCAGGGACTTCCTGAAGCTATGTTGAGTTGTTTACTTTCTGTTTTAAGGACTTTGCTGGAAGATGGCCTGTTTCAACCTCAGAGGAAACTATTGTGCTGCTTATTTAAGTGGGCAGTCTCTGTGGTCTTTCTTTGCCTGAGTCTTTCTCTACAAAATGTGCACTGAATTATCTACCTCAGAACTGCTGCCAGCCTCCAAATGAACTTAACACACACACAGCCTTAGAATAATGAAAAAGAGTCACACAGACAGTATTGAGAAAGCTGAATCCCATTGTCCTTATATAAAAGGGCTCCCTCACAAGAGGATTTTAGGATACATTTTTATTGTTTTATTGAAAATTATAAGTATAAATAATCAGTACATTTCATTCTACCGAAAGGGTTAGACTAACTTTGTAACCTGTATGTCTTCTAAAGCCTATAGTTTTGAGTTTTAGGTTCAGGTTAAGCTAAAGCCTCTTAGTACCTTTCCAGAGAATGGAAAAATGTGACCCTATCTGTAAGGACAAATACAAAAAAAAAAAAAAAAAAGGCAAGCACAGCAGTCTAAGTGGGCCATCCTCAGCAAAAAGAAGGACCAGACCCTTGTCTTTGAGATAGTGTTTCTTAGCAACGAACCCAGACTTCTTCTGAGTAGCTTTTGACCTCCAGCCAAGAGCCTGAAGCCCTAAGCTTCAATGATGAGCTAACCACCCCACCTTCAATTGCAGCTGCATCCACACTTGGCAAGACTGGCCAAGCCTGAGCACCTAAGACTAACCAATTATCTTACTTTATAGCTTCCTCATCCAATCCTAAATTGCCAAAACTGCAACTTCAAATTTCCCGCAATTTTTCTTTTAAAAACCTAAAAGCCTTTGTCTCCCGGTGCCACTCTTTGCTGACCGGCAGGGGTGACCCCATTGTACAATGGTTAATAAACCTCTTGCTTTTGCAACGAGTCTTGGTCTGGGGGAGTTTCTGGGAAGGGCGCGATCTTAAACTCCTGAGCTGTGAGACCCCAGGTCTTACACTCTTCCCAAGCTTGTCCAGCCAACCATCCAGCTAGTCCATTGGCTACAGCCCACGAGTCAGTGCACAACTGCACACCTGTCCATTTCTTCTTCTAAACAGAAGGTGTGATCATATCCTGTCCCAAGATCTGCTCACTGACAAGATTTCCCTGCACCAGTGTCTTTCAGGGTTGTTCCAGAAAACGGTTGTGATTCTGCAGCTGTCTACTTGTGGGCCGTGCCTACTTAAAACTCAGACACATGAGTGATGCAGGCACTAGTCATTTCTTCCTCAGCCAGTGGTGGGAGGCACCTCCTGAGGGGCATGCTTGGTGGCAGCCAGCTCTGTAACAGGAGGAGAAGCTGTAGGCATCTGGGCAGACTTCTCAGTATGGCTCTCCTGCACCTTCAGGGCCGCTCAGGCATGGTGCTGTTCTTGCTGTTTCCATCAGACGATAGATTGCTGCTGGACGTGTGCTGTTTAAGGGCCACACGGGTCAGAAAACACCAGGTCGTGACTAGAAGCTCAGCTTGCGTGTTAACTTGGTAGCCCGCTGTCAGTTTCCGCTAATGCACAGTAAACACGGTGCTTCTTTCTTGGTGGTGGGAGGAGCCAGGAGCAGCAATGTATCCTTCAGCTTACAAGGAATGTCTCCGTGTGCCCCACCCCACTGGACTCCTAAAAATTTCACTGAGGTAGAAGGCAACTCAGTAACCATTATAGCCCTCACTCCACAAGTCAGGCAAGTAATGTACAACGCCAAGTATTAATGGGGCTGGTGAAGCGAGCAAAGGATGAGCTTAGGGTCCTTGTGGACCTACTGTGAGTCAGATTTCAGTCTGGAGTTTATCAATGACGTGGCCTCCATAAGCTCCTACCTTAACTGGAACCCACAGTATTTCCTGGGGTCTCCCGGAAACAGTGTCATTTCAGAACCAGTATCCAGTAGACCCCGGAAAGTCTGTTTCCTTCGCCCAGTGTACAGCTACCCCTTTGAAAGGACACAGCTCCCTCTGGGGCAGGGCTGGAGAAAGGCTCTGGAGTAACCCCACACCATCAGGTTATCCAGTACCACATTGTACGCTTCTGTTATAGCCGCAATCACAGTCTACTTCCCAAGCAAACATGTAAGGACACGCAAAACTCAGTCCTGGAAAGTAAAGAACAAATCCAGCTCTACTCTCTATTTTGAGAGCAGGAGAAAAGATTTTAAACATGACTTTTCAGTTGTAATATTTTGAGATCTCATGTTGAGACCATTGGCTGTGAAATGGTATGTCCCTGATATAAAATAAAATAAAACCCCACAGACTCAGCAAGACTCCTGTGAAAATCAAATCCAAATCGCATCCTTAGACAAAATGTCTTCAGGTGGCCCCTAAACAGGCCAGCTCTTTCTCTTCAGGACTTAGGTGCTTAGTACACACTGACTCAGTTACGACTTAGTGACTATGAAAATGAACTTGGACTGCACACATGTTTTTTTTTTTTAAATTACGCTTTCTTCTTCATACAGATTTCGAAAGCCTGTTGAAAATGCAGGTTGTAGCTGACTCTTAACAAAGGAGGAATGGAAGTCAAAGAACGTCACCGTGATCCATTTACAGAAGTAAATAAAAACGTGGACTCTAAACTCACACAAGAGGAGCTGTCAGAAAGAAGACATGCGAGGCCAGGGTCACTGCGGGAGAGAGTGATGCGGAAAAATGATTCCCGCACCTTCAAGTATGTCGTGCACCGCAGTGCTAAGGAAATGAGCCAGGCCCACCGTACTGCTCAAATGGAGGGTCGTCTTGTCATCGCTGACTTGACTCTTCTGGGGGAACCTTGTTTGTTATCGTGTGAAAGTCTTAGGAATAAAATACAGCAGTTTGTCAATGAGTAATTATGATAATGTAAAAGGTGTTCTTCCAAATCACAGCTTAATGGCTGTGTGGATACCCGGTAGGTCTTTCTAATGAGCTAATGCAATGGTGCGGGGTTTTGCATTTTAATTAATGCTGCCAGGAGCACCATCAACATTCCTTGCTGTTTTCTTGTGGGTTTTATGCGCCTTCACATGGCAACAGTAGTCTAAAAACTATATTTAAATTAAATTAACTCCAAGGAGTCCTATTTTAGTCATCATTTTAAAGTTTTCTTTCTTCCTTTAAAATTTATTTTTAAAAATTAGCTCACAAGGTAGCAGATTTCTGTGTGTAACTTATTTCATTTTGACTGACTTTCCTCTGTTTCTCTTGCCTCTGCTTTCCCTTCCTTGCTCTCTGGCCTTGCTCTCTGGCCTTCAGTATTCTCTCTTCCACTTTCTTGTATCATTTCCACCCCCCCTTTTCTAAAGCCTCTTTTTCTTCCCTATTTCATGGACCCCATCCCATTTCCTGCCTGTCCTTCCTCCCAGCTAAATCTACATAACTAAAGTTAGAGGCTAGGATCTAAGTAGAACATACAATATTTGTCTCCATGACTCTAGGTTACCTCAGCATAATATTTTCAAGTCCCATTCATTTTCTTGCAAATTTCATTTTTCTTTAGGGCTGAATAATGTTTTATTGTATACATATATACATACATACATACATATCGGTCATTTTTATTACATATATAACATTTTTATTGTCAGTCATCTGTCAATGTACATCTGGTCTGATTCCTTTTTTTAGCTATTGTGACTAGAGTGGCAGTCAACATGGATGGACAGACATCTTTGTGGTAGGCTTCCCTTGGGTCGATGCCTTGGACTGTGTTGTATTTTCAGTGTTTGAGAAGCTTCCACACTGATTTTCCTGTCTACTCTTCTACTGTTTTCTACAGCTTACACACCTGTTTTTGTGCTGACATCATTATAATTTGTCACTATGGCTCTACAGTATAGTTTGAAGGCAAAGCCGGCAGCTGTTCTTTCTGCTAGGAATTACTCTGGCTATCTATGGTCTTTTGTGTTTCCTTATGAATTTTAGAAATCTCCCCCTAGGTCTGTGAAGAATGTTTCTGGATTTTTGATGAAGATGGCATCGATCTGTAGATTGCCTTTGGTAGCACAGCCATTCCCACAATGTTAATTCTGTCATTCCAGGAGTCTGGAAAATCTTTCCATCATCTCGCCTCTTCAGTTTCTGGATTCAGTGTCTTAAAGATTTTATTGTGGAAGTCTTTTACCTTCTTGGTTAGTTTTATTCTCATACTCTGTATAGGAACTTCTTATTTTTAAAACACTTTTATTAGTTATTTGAGAGATTCAAGTTTTATACAATGTGTTTTGATCAGATTAAACGCCCTGACCCTTTGCAGATCTACTCTCCATCCCTACCCACCTGTGGTATGGTTGCTACTGGTTGATGAAACACCATGACCAAAAGCAAGTTGAGGAGGAAAGGGTTTATTTGGCTTATACTTCCACATACTTCCACTGTACATCATCCAAGAGAGTCAGGACAGGGACTTAAACAGGGCCATAACCTGGAAGCAGGGGCTGGTGCAGAGGCCATGGGGATCCTACTCACTGGCCTGCTCAGCCTGCTTTCTGCTAGAACCCAGGACCACCAGGCAGAGAGCAGCAGACAGGACACAGCATTGGGGAATTGGGTGGGAAGGGTCTCACCCAGTGGCCCGGTAGCCACAGGCCTCTGGGAATGGGGGTAGAGCCGTGGCCTGCGAAGTGGAGCTCACCATGGCTAGGCTTGCCCAAGGGGACCCAGCAGGCGGGGGACTGGGCACATGGGGTCTCACTTGCCCCTCCTGGTGGCAGCAGGCCTCTGGGGATGCAGACAGAGCTGTGGGCCAGGAATGGAGTGCCAATAAAAGCATCTTTAACTGCAGATTTGCCTCACAAGAAGAGAAGACTATGACAAATGCACAGCTGCCTCCTGGAAACATGGAAAACTCGAGAACTGAAAGACAGAGATACTCTGAGAAACTCGATGTGCCACACCCTGGGACCTGTCCGTGGGCAGAAACGGAAGAAAAAACGTGGAGTGAGGTGAGTTAGTCTTTGGTAAAATCTTATATTTCTGACTTTAATTTGATCAACGTAGAGCACTCCCTTCGTTGACAGCAGTTCTGTGTTGCCTAGAGACAGGATTACAACCTGAGATAACGCGCTAGGCAGTTTCACTGTGAAACGCTCACAGTCCTGTGTTTTGCACAGACTTTGTCCTCTACCACAGCACCGTGTCCAGCTGTCTGTGGGAACACGGCACAGTGTGCTCCATGGCGGACCACGGCACTTTGTGTCATGTGACTTTTATTTAGACTTAAACAAAATGTCGTCCCATCCTACAAATGGCTGATGACCTTCATGGATCGGTTCTTGAGTTTTGTTTGTGGTAATAGTGGCATATGGTGGATGCCCGCACATATTTTCTGAATGATGGCAGGGACCGTAAGCCCAGGGCAGCCGCTAGGATGGGTGTGAGTTTAGTGTCTTTTAGGCTAACGTACAGGATTCCTTGGCCCCGCAGTTGCAGTGATGTTGGCTAAATGTTCTGCAATGTGTGTTAATTCCCAGTACTGCGTCCGCCTGCACTGAAGAACTTCCTTTGTTCTTTGATAAGTTCAGCTGTCATTCAAGTAATTAGAATCTGAATAATATATATCTGCAACCTTTCATAGTCTTTGAAAATCACCAATCCGTACATGGTGGATTTGATTGCCATGTTTTGAGCATTTCATGTGGATAGTTACAAACTTTTCAGCCCTTTCAACTTGCTCCTTTTAGGCAGCATGATGCTTTTGGGACCCGTCTTCCTTTCCTTATGTGGCTGGGTAGCATCCCTCAGATGGCTAGGCATGGAGGCTCAGATCTCCGATCCCAGCACAGAGTCGAGAAAAGGAAGATGGGCCCATATGAGTTCCTGTCTCAAGACACAGAAGAGACACACACATACAAAGACACATAGACACACATGGACACAGACACGCAGACACACAAACACACACAGACACACAAACTCACACAGACACATACACAGACATACACACACAGAAACACAGACACACACACACAGATGCATAGACACATACAGACACAGATGCACAAACTCACACAGGCACACACACACACACAGCACGTACCTGCTCCTCAGCTGACAGGCGTTGGCTAGTTTGCGGCACTGCTCAGCTCCTGCTAACGATTCTGCCACCTCTGCTCCAGCAGGCCTGTGGGCCTCTCTTGTCTCTGTGCCAGACGGTTCTGCCCTCCGGTGAACTGAGCTCCTGGCTTTTCCTCATGCTGCTCTTTCTGGCTTTTCTGGATCTTCTAGTATGACCTCCTTTGTCTATGAGTGGCTCACCATTTTCTCTGCCACAAAAACTTCCCTAACTGGACTGATTGTCCTAAATCCATCCAAAGTTGTCTGTTCAGAACAGTTTATCCTTCAGCTTTACCCTGATTTAATCTGCATAGGAGAAAATATTATCTAAATATAAATTGGGAGGAATATCAGGTGAGATAAGACACTTTTTCTTAAATAACTTAAAAACATATTTGCTTAAGTTTTAGGATAAAATCTGTATTTTACCAATATTTTTTCCTGAGGACAAACATGTAGTGACATCTTTATTTTCAATATATACTATTTAATATATACTACTTTCAGTATTGTGAGAAGTTTAATATACAATCAAATGCACTTAATGAATAGGGGACATCGTTTAATTAAATGTTCCTGTTTGCCTCAAAATGTGTATCTTCCTTCCTTAAGTAGCCAGAACTGGAAACTGCAGCTATAATTGGTGGGAAGGCCCCTGCAGTAGCTTTTTAAACACACCTTTCCATATCACCCTAACCTACTCGTGGGGTGTGGGGGTGGCAGAGCCGCCTCACTAACAGTTGCTGGGACAGACTGACAGACACCGGGGATTGTGCTGTAGGCTCCAGCAGAGGCTTTAGCCGTTTGCACTACAAGATCACAGCCTGCTGAGTCCTCCCAAGAGCTGGGGGGCAGGGCGTGGGCTAGTGCAAGCGGGCAGTGTCCAGGTGCGGTGTGGCCTTCTCTCTGGAGATGTGACTACCTGTCTATACACAGCAGGAGGGCAGCAATGACACAGCAAAGAGCAATGCTGCCCAGTCAGGCTGAAACCCGCACTGAGTTTCGGGGCTCGCTGCAGAAGCACGGGGCACTTGGGCAGCCGAGTGACTGAAAAGCCCACCCCAGCTCAGTGACCGCTCCGATGCTCCCTGCACAGGCACAGCAGCTCTGTGGGAAAGCTCCTCTCCCTCAGGTACCATTTGTTCTCCCGGAGGGACTCCGGGGGTCCTGTAAGTTTTGCGGCCATCCGGAGCCTCGTAGTTTTCATGAGGTCTTGTGGTTCCGTCTCCTCCAGGAAGAGAGGTTTCCACCCAGAGAAAACAGCTGCACGACACCGGCACTGTAGGCCATGTTCTAAGAACTATTAAGGCTGCTTTAGGTGGCTCATTTCCCATACGCTGCCGCTTTCACTAAGGACAGAAAGGACTCCTCAGAAAGGGATCGCGCCTCATATGAGACTATCAAATGTAATCTTGACACTAATGCCGGCAACAATATCCCTGGCAATCCGGTGTGGTAATTTCTACCAATATCTGCACATCACACATAAAGAAACCAAGACAAATCATTCACTTGCACACCTCTCAGTGTCAAGGTGAGGTGGAGGCCCAGACATTCTGACATCCGTGTTGACACTGTCCCTGAAAATGATCCCATGGGACAGTGGGGTGGTTTGAATGATAACGGCCCCATCGATTCACACCTTCCAAAGCTTCGTCATTAGGGCGTACACTGTTCGAGAAGGATCAGGAGGTGTGTTCTTGCTGAAGGAAGTGTGTCACTAGGAGTGGGCTTGGAAGTTCCAAAAGCTCATTCTAGGCCCAGTGTCTCATGCCTGCCGCCATGTTCCCACTGTGATGACAGTGGATTCACCCTCTGAAAGGGAGCAAGGCCCCAACTAAATGCTCCCTCTTATAAGAGTTGCCTTGGTCGTGGTGTCTCCTCACAGCAATCAAACAGTGACTAAGACACCATCTGAGGTGTTCATTTTTATCATCCCTGCCACGGGTTCTCACATTATAGCGTCAGTGAGTGATGCCCAGAGGTAAAAAACACGAATGCTTATTACCTCGTGGAATTTCCTCTTCCTGTTGTACTAATTGTGTCAACTTGAGTACCTGATAAAATATAATTTACAACTAATGATGTGTTTCAACATTAGTGGTGGGGTCATAAACATTTCTGAAGAAAGCCAGACAGCGTCCGCCAGCCAGATCCTGTCGATAGGCCTGGCAGCTCTTGAGCTGAGCAGGCGGCGACTGCACACAGCATGCAGAGGAAGGGCCGGTCTGTGCTTCTGTGGACAAGCTCATACCGGGGTCTAACTGTAACTTTCCCCCGTTCTTTGTTCCAGTTGCAAGAAGCACTAGCGACGCTGAAAGCTGCGGAGAAGATGCGCTGTAGGATTCAGAGGTATCACTGCCTGCAGCTTGAGAGCTAGCGGGAGTGTTTGTGCAGCAGGCAGGCTGAGCATTCGAGCGCCGAGTCCACGTGAGCCGAGGTGCCCGCGTGTAAGGCCACGGTGAAACTTCTGCTTCCAACCACTTGGCTTGCATTACGTAATTGCGAGGGGCAGAATGTTTGCCTGTGTAAGGCCCTGGTTTCCTCCGAAAGCACCACAAAAAAAAAAAAAAAAAAGACAAAGAATTTATTCACACTGTCCCTAAACTTTACAACTAGCCACAGAACACAGCTAGAAAAATAACACATCTACCAATTAGCTTGTTTTTCTAAGCATCTGCTAAATTATTTTAAGACAATTATTTGGAAATTGTGTAGTGTTAAAAAATTCATCTGTGAGAATAATTCCTTTAAAATATTTAGGATAGAACTTGAAAATTCCAACCTAATTGCCGTTCTTGAAGAACAAGTGAGAGAAATGGAAGCACTCGGAGAAAAGCTGATTGGGGCAGGAATCCATGTGGTAAGTGAGTCTCATCGTTTTCGTTATGTCACTGGTGTGGAAGAGCTGTTCTTTCTCCGGCAGTGTCCCACAGGGCTGCGTTATCCAGCGCAGAAAGGCTCCCTGATAAAAACGCTTGCTTTAGTCACGTTGTTACTACTTATCAGCAGAGGCGACGGTCGGTCCCCTGGCTTTACAGAAACGGAGCACATTAATTAATGAAGGCATACCATATCTCCCTTATTCTTCTTAATTTTTAAAATTGTTTTTATAGTCTCTCTCTTGTGTATGCTGCATACCAACTGCTCTCACACCCGTCTCTCCCCACCCGTCCACTCTTCTTCCTCCCTGTAAGTCTTCTTCGCACATGGCTGTCTGTTCACTTGCTCTGTGACCCCAAGAGAGTAACCAGGGCCGTCCTTGTGAGCATGAGTTAGAGCCTAGTGGGATAATAACTAAAGACAGCGATTCCCTCTCTCCGGAAACTTTTTAGCTCCTTTTTAGTTACAGTGTTTGTGATTAAAATTTCTGAATTGATTTTATTATTTTTGGAATTATGAAATGACACCAGAGCAAACACAAGGTGATTTATGGCTGAGAACATGATGCAGTTTGACTAGCTTTCAAAGCACAGCACTCCAAACCCTCAGAAACCACACACACACACACACACACACACACACACACACACACACACGCATGCGCAATGAATGAATCACAAATGTTTACTAGCTATATTTAATAGTTGATACCGAAGAAAAATATTTTGAACTCCAGTGTTTTTCTTTATTGAGTTATTATTTTACTGGCATGCAAAGAAACCGTGTGACATTTTCACGTGCACATGTCATTATCCATTTTTGCTGTTTCTCCAAACATCAGTTCCCATCCGGCCTCTACTTAATACCTTTTGCTGGTCACCTCATTTACCCCAGAGTGTCCCTTTTCAAAATGCAGATTCCATTTCTGGCATACTTACAGCTGCTGAGTCATGGGTGTAAACTGAAGAAATTGAAGTTCGCAGTAGTCACTTGCGTTCCGACTTAGGAGGAGGCGTCACGGGAAGATCCAGGGAAGCCGAGGGAGGACGCTGCCCCGTCGTGGAGTACCCCGGAGCTGATGAAGTGTGCCTCCGAGCTCTCTAAAATGAGAATGCAAGACGGCGTGTGCAAAATGGAGGTGAAAAAATACAAAGAACTCTATCTAAAAGAGCTGAGAGACAACAACGCCTTACTCTCACTTCTTTCAAACAGGTAAGTGAGAGAGAGACTCTGAGACCAAACTCAGCTCAGCGCCTGTCACTAAAGCATAGTTGTCAGTGAGCTGGGTTCCCAGATTTGTAGATTTTGACAGCTGGGTGGACACTGTAGTTCTGGGAGCCATGCTGGCAGATGAACTTCCTTCCAAATGTTAGTTCAGGACGCATCTTACCCCCTTTTTTTTTTTTGCTCTACGTCTGTTTTCTACCTCAGTATTCTCCCGCGGTTCACTTAATCTATTGGCTTTTGGGTAGGTGTTTGTCTTAGTTAACACAGTGATTATAACTCGATTGTCTGTGTTTTCACAAACGTAAACATGAAAAGATTAGCTGCTTTGGGAAGAGTGTAACTTAGAGCCAAGCTGTCCAGTGCTCCCAGGGCACTTCCTGAGATCTGAGCATCACCGTGAGGGGGCAGCAGGGTCACTGCCCTTCTGCGTCCCCCCCCGCCCCCCCAGCAAGCGCTGATGGACGGCATGACGGACAGGACCAACCCTGAGCTGGAGGGAAGGGCCTGCTGGTTGCCATGACTCCCTGGCGGGTGCAGGACGGGCAGGCCGCCTGGCAGCCTGTTTAGAGCCCGCTGCCTGGGCTGCTTCTGTCTGTCAGTCTCTCATCTCTGTCCGTCCCGGCCTCGCGCAGACTCAGAACTCCTCTTCAGCGCCAAAAGCTCGGTTTCTTCCGCGTCAAGGGAGCGATGTACAGAAGCGAATGCCTGCGGGTGTCTGTGAGGGATTTAAAACATTTAAACATTCTTATTGAGGCACTGAGGCTTTCATTCGTGTGTACAGGGTATTTTGGTCACATTCACCTTCCGCTTCCAATCCTAGCTTCTCCCAGGTCCACGCCCGCCTTCGCCGTCATCCCTGGATTCGGCTCTTTTTTTAATTTTTTTCCCCCGTTTTTAATTATAGCCCACTGAGCTGTGCCCACGTTCTGCTGGGTCCGGGGCTGTCCGCTGGAGGACTAGCCCACCTCCCGGGGACCACGGGCTTAGAGAGAACTGATGCTGTCTCAGAAGACGCAACTGTCAACGCTCCTGTTGGGGGGGGGTGTCTTGCGAGGCTCCCCCCAGCCGAGCCGGGGTGGTGACCGGCGTGCTCTGCGGACGCCTCTGTGCTCAGGACAGCTGCCATCCCGTCATGCCCAGAAGAGTTTGCCTCGGTCCTCCTGGGCCTTGTCTGTCTAATCTACACTACTGAACAGGAGAGGCAAAAGCAGGGACCACAGCCTCACCTCGTTCTGCTCTAAGGGGAAGCGCTTCAGGTTTTCCCCGCTGTGACTACAGCTATTGGTTTTCCATACTTAATTAGCCTTTATCATTTCCCCATATGCTTTCTTCATCCCTACTCTCTCCAGGATTTTATCAAGAGATGCTGGATTTTTATGAAAGACCTTTAATAGACCTAATAAGGTGGTCATGCAGCTTCTGTCCTTGGATATATTTATGTGATAAACTGCATTTATTGATTTTCACATGCCTCTCTGCCTCCCTGGAGCGAAGCCTGCTCGATCATGGTGAGACTGGCCTATCATTCTCCTTTTTCGTTGCGTCTTTATCTAGCTTGGCTGTCTGGCTTCCTAAGAAAGATTTGGGAGTGTTTCTTCCTTTATGGACAAAAAAAAAAAAAAAAAAAAAAAAGAGGGGTATTGGAGCTAGTTCTTTAAAGGTCTGGTAGAATTCTGTATTGAAATCCATCTGGCCCTGGGCTTTTGGCAGGGAGATACAGTTTACAGTTTGTTTTCATTTTTATGTGTCTGAGTGTTTTTCCAGCATGTATGTATGTACAGCCCGTGTGTACCTGGTACCTACGGAGAGTGTGAGTGTCAGGAACTGGAGTGACGATTGTGGCTGCATGCTGGGAACTGAACCAAGGTCCTCTGTCAGAACAAATGTCTTTAACCACAGAGCCATCTCTCCAGCTGTGCGTGGGAGTCTTTAAAATTCTGCTTTTATCTCATTGGTGGTTTTGTATTTTTAACATTTATTTTATCTTGGTTTAACTATGGTAGGTCAAATACATCTAGAAAATCATACAGTTCTTTCAGAACTTTCCAATTTAGTAGAATATCATTTTTTAAAACTATGTCCTCATGATTCTCTGAGTTTCCTCTGTGTCTATTGCAATCATTTCCCTTCATCCCTAAAGATTTATTCTTCTCTTTATTTCTTTTGGTTAACTTGGTTAAATGTTTATTAATTCTGTTAATATTTTCATAGACCCAGGTCTTTGTTTAATTGATTCTTTTTATTGTTTTTGGCTTATTTCGACTTCACTGTTTTTTGTCCTGATCTTAGTTATTTCCCTTAGCCTGCTGCTCTAGGGGACTGATGTAATCTCTTTTTAATTCCTTAATGTTTGTCTTCCCGTTGTCCACTTAAGATCCCAGATTTTTAAATTGTAGTCACTTAGAGCTATAAACTTCCTTCCTAAGACTGCCTTCATTGTATCCCAAATTCAGGCACATTGTGCTTTCATTTTCATTTAATTCTAGGATCTTTTAGGTTTTCTTCTTGGCTTCTTCAATGACTCATTCATAATTCAATAGTGCATTGCTTAATCTACATGAGTTTGTGTATTTTCTATATTTTTCTATAGTTTCCCATGATGTCGATTTATAGCTTTAGGTCATCATGATCAGGTAGAAAGTGAGACAGTGTTTCAGTCTTCTTACTTTTGTTGAGACTTGATTTGTGTTCTAATGTGTGACTTATTTTTAGAGAAAGCTCCACGAGCTGCTGAGGAAAATGTCTATTTTTGGCGTTTGGGTGGAATGTGCTATAGATATCTTTTAGGTCGATTTTGCCTATGTTGTCATTTAATTCCTGTTTCTTTATTCACTTTTTGTACAGATGATCTGTCTAGTGGTGAACTGTAAGAATTGATGTCAATACTGTTACTCTGTTGGGGTTGTAGCTGGGAATGCTTGCTTTACAAAATGTGATCTGCCTCTTTCTGATGTGTTTGTATTTATAAATATAATTTTCTCTTGCTGGATTATTCTCTGGATCAAACTGAAGTAACATTACCCCTTCATCTCTTCTGACCAGATGTGGTTTGAAGTCTGTTTTGTTCAATATTAAAATAGCAACACATGTTTCCTGGTTTCCTGTGTTTGGAATACAAAACCCTTATGATAGTGTATATCTTTGATGGTAAAGCATGTTTCTCAGAGGCATTGAAAATGAGGATTGTGTTTTTTACCTGGTCATCTAGTTTGTGTCTTTTGGTGGGTGAATTGAGACCATTGATACTCAGAATTATTATTGAAAGGTGTCTATTGCTGTAACAAAACACCATGACCAAAAAGCAAGTGGGAAAAGAAGAGTTTATTCAGCTTACACTTCTATATTTCTCTTCACCATGAATGGAAGTCAGGACAGGAACTCAAAGAGGGCAGGAACCTGGAGGCAGGAGCTGAAGCAGATGCCATGGAAGGCGCTGCTTATTGGCTTGTTCCCCCTGGCTTGCTCAGCCTGCTTTCTTATAGAACCCAGGACCACCAGCCCAGGGATGGCACCACCAGTAATGGACGGAGGCCCCCTCATCAATTACTAATTAAGAAAAAGGCCTATTTTTAATGGCTGAATAGTATTCCATTGTGTATATATAAGGTCTGAGTGCATGGATGTACGTCAGATGCAGGCCTGTTGCTCATGGAGGCCAGAGCATTGGATCCCTGAAACTGGAGTTACAAATTGCTGTAAACTGTCCTGTGGGTGCTGGGAACTGAACCCTGGGTCTCCTGGAAGAGCAGAAAGAACTTCTAATCTCTGACCCTTCTTTGCAGCCCAGACTGGTAATTTTCAGAGGAAATGAGCCATCTTGGTTTTTCCTGTTGTGTTTTTGCCCTGGGATCTGCCCTTTTGGAGTTAGATGTCTTGTAAAGAGTTATTTTTCTTGTTCTTTTAATTCAGTGATTTTGTTTGCAGTGTCCAGGAGAATCAAGGTTGTGGTATAGTTGTATTTGTGTGTTGGACTGGTGTTCCAGGCCCCAGCATTTGGTCTTCCCCTGTGGTTGAATACTGTCGGCAACAGTGGCTACCCAGTCATCAGCCCACTCTGCAGGGGCCTACAAAACAGGCACCTGTTAACAGATTTGCTTAGGGAGTTCAGGGACCCAGATAGCACTGTGCGTGTTAGTATGCAAGAATCTGTGGGAAGGAGGGGGAAAGAAAAGGTGGGAAGTTACAGCAGGACCACGTGACTAGTCTCATGTCAAGTTAGACAGGAAGTAGAGGAGAGGATGTACATGGGAATGGGAGTAGTTAAGGCAAAGGGGAAAGCGGGCTGAATACACCGTTAACAGCAGGCTGTACTGAGAGGATAGAGCCATGTGACCTCTCTGTATAATTTAATACAGTAATAAAGTAAGAAAATTAATAAACTAAATACACATTTGACATAATATAAACCAGGCCAGCCTCCGGGGTTTGGAAGAATAGGTATGGAAAAAGAGAAAAGGAGAAAAAAATGAAAAAGAAGACACAGGCGCACAGGGGATTTCTTAGGTTAACTTACAGACTGCAGTCTGGGTAGCTCAGCAATGGCAGCCTCACACCAAAGAGCCTGAGAATCTGCATTCCGCTCAGTCCATGAGGCTGACGCTGTTCCTGGAGAGCTGCTGGTCTCCAGTCTCTGTTGGAGGCCCAGAGAAGTTAGTGCTAATATTGGTGAAAGGGAGCCGCAGCAGCAGGTGAGATGCACTTGCAGCAAAGGTGAGGGGAAGCAGGCGAAAAGAGAAGTCTCTGTCTTTCAGGGCCTTTGGTCATGGCTGCACCCACGTTCAGAGCAGATCTCTGTGCATTAAATGATATTTTCAAGAAAATCTCTCACAGGCGTGCCCAGAAGCTTGAGTTGGAGTTAATTCCAGATCTGATCAAGTTGAGACCTAGGATTAGCCATCATCATAAGTATTCCTTTCTGTTTTTTTTTTTTTTTTTTGAGTCAGGATTTCTCTGTGTAGCCCTGGCTGTCTTGGAACTTGCATAGCAGACCAAGCTGGCCTAGAACTCAGAGATCCTCCCACTTGCCTCTGTCTCCCATGTGCTGGGATTAAAGGCCACCATGCCCAGCTCAGACATTCTTAGCTTTTTCTGATTGAATGTATTTTAGTAGTACAGCACAATATTTTAATATGTTCATATGCAATAGAATTATTAGAATTATCAAGTATGCTATTGCCTTACAGAATTACCCTTTAAAAACATAAATCTTTAGAGACACGTTAAAAAAAAATCAAAGTAGATTTCTTCCATGGACCATAGTTTTAGCAGAGAAGCCACATATCATTAATCTGTCCCATATTGTTTGATTCACTAGTTGGTTTAAAATTTCCCTGGAAATAGACATACCATTTTTTGTTTGCTTCTTGTGTCTTGAGACATAGTGCATAGCCCAGCCTGGCCTTGAACTCACAAAACTACTGTCTTAGCTCCCTAAGCATAAGGATTATAGAGATGTCCTTCCAAGCCTTGCTGTGTTTAAGAACCTTCCTAATCCTATAGTTTACACGGCACCCTGTCACAGCTTCAGTGTTGGCACACGGCATCATTCTTTAAGGTGCACATCATGTTAGAACCTTGCAGTCATTTGGGGGAACATTGGACATACTCAATGTTTACATTTTGTAAACCTGTGCAGGACTGGCAAGCGTCCAGAGCGGTCATGTGCAAATCTGGAGTTGTGGCGGAACACCTCCACAGTGGTGGCTCTTGTGGGGTCCCACCCTGAGTGCCCTCAAGTGCCAACTCTCACAAGCAGCGTCGTGGAGCCACAGGGAAGTGTGTCCCAGCCCCATGGAGGCCCAGAGGCCAGCTGTGACTCCATGGAGAAGCCTCAGTGCTCTGTGAGTTGCATAATCGCACCTCTGGGTTTAACTTCCTGGAGTCCCTCAGTGCTGGGTGAAATACCGAGTTATCTAGTTCGTGTCTCTTTAGTAAGACAAGGTCGCGATAATGTTCGTGAGGGAAAGAGAAAGTTTATAACTAAAAAAACTACCCTGAGCTCTCATTTCCCATAGTCACTGCACACCACTGTGTTAATACTTGTAAACAGATGGACACAGAGCTTTCTTACATTCCACACCCGCACTAGGTGTTAGAAACAGGCGTGAGTGGGGTTACAGGAGTCCTGAAGTGTTTTAAGGAAGAGGTCTTCTTACTTAAACAACTTTGTCCTAACTTCTTTCCGAAGTCCGAAGATAAGAAGACAGTGAGGAGAGAAGAGGGCAAGTCAGCACGGTCCCTGCTCTGTGCTTTGCATCGAGAAGCAAGGAGGACTAAGGAGCTACAGAGAGAGCTGACTGAGTAAGCCCGCTCAGATCTCTTCAACCGGTGCTTGCCATGGCTTTGATTTCATGAAAACCTGAACATAAATTCACAGTGAAAATTCACATGCACTGTAATGTGGACTTCAGACATGCAGAATGCAGCCCCAACCCTCTGAATGTCAGAAAGTTACATTTACACAGTAATAAGTTTTAAACCATAAGAGTAATGCCGACTGTACTCCGCTTCATGTACCTTGAATTTTTATTTCCTTAGATTTTATCATTCATCACCTTTGTTTTATCTTAATGATAACTTCATTCAAAATAAAAGCCAGACAAGTTTTAGCACGTGAATTTCATCACTGGTAACTAGTACAAAAAGAGGAGGCGTACTACAATTATATCACACAAAAGTGATTTTTATTATTTCATTAAATTTTTTGTTTAAGAACTTTACATGTACACATTGAGTGTTTTGGTGAGATCTCCTTACCCCTCTCCTCCCGTTCCACCCACTTTCCTGAGAACTTTATGTGCTTGTTAAAAGCACAGGTCAAGTCTGTCAGTGCTGCCTGGATGGGAGGGGTGTAGACACATCTACTGGGGTAAACTGGCCTTTCCAGGACCACATCCCCAAATAAGACCCATTCTTCCTTCCCCAGCAGCCATTGTTTCCAAAAACTCCTCACTCCAGGGTGGAAGTTCCTAAGCCCCTGGTCCGGATAAGTTTGTGTCAACTTGACACAAACAGGCTGAAGTCATCTGAGAGGGCAGAACCTCAATAGAGAAAATGCCTCCAACAGATCAGGTGGTAGGCAAGCCTGTGGGGCACTGTCTTAGTGATTGATGGGGGAGGGGCACCCTGGGCTGGTGGTCCTGGGCTCTCTAAGAAGGCAGGCTGAGCAAGCCAGGAAGCAGCCCCCTCCATGGCCTCGGCATCAGCTCCTGCCTTCAGGTTCCTGCTCTGCCTGAGTTCCCGTCCTGACTTCCCTTGATGGACTGCAATTTAAGATACACATGCAAAGAATCCTGTTTGCTTCCCGGTTTGCTTTTGTTCATGGTGCTCTCTCGAGGCAGTAGTAACCCCAGCTAAGACATCAATTGTCTGAGATTATGGTTTAATCCAAATGGTTTCAAGTCAAGTTGTTTTGAGACAGGATTGTGATCACAGATGTTTTCTACATATGATAGAGCATAAAGTTTATTTAAACAACTGCTAGATATTTACTCTTTAAAAAAAAAAAAAGCCCTCTCTCTTGTCCTTTGCCTTCTTGCAGAATAAAAAAGATCTTTAATATGCGTCCAAAGGAAGGACATGGGTGTGAAGGCAGAGGACATAGTTTTCGAGAAGTTTCAAAAGTCAATCAAACTGAAATGAGCGTTCCAGTTGTCATGCTAAACCCTGAGGTGAGCTGTAACCTGTTTGGGGATCAAAATCACTTAATCCTGGGGAAAAAAATGTCTGAAAACCCAACAGCCAATGAAGATTGGACTATAGTATTACACATATCAGGGAAACACATGTCTTTTTCACTAGAAGGGCACAGGATTGCTTTTCTCACCTTGAAACTGGCTTGTGGCTAGCTCTACCACACGGAGAGACCACTAACATTCAAAAGCAGGACATCATGAGGTTAGAGTTAAGGTTGTAGTGAAATGTAGGTGCTCGAACTACAGACTTCAGTAGCAGTTAGGTACTGCAGTTAGGCAGCCTTACCTTCCCCCTTTCCCACAGCCCCCAGTTTGAGGGGGCGTTCTGAGACACACTGGGCACCGTACGAGTTTGCAGCTGGAGGGCGCCGTGCAGAACCTCCTGTGTGGCCCTACTGTGCTCTCCCCGGTGCTGCCTCTTCTCACCAGCATGGCTTGATGGGGTTTGCTCGGTGCCCTGTTTCCTAGGTTCCTCCTCAAGGAGCCGTAACTTCCGTGCTTGTGTGGCTGTCCTACTGAGTCTCTTTCAAACCCATCTTCCCCCTTTCCTGTGAAATTTCCCGATTTGGTGGCTTCAGGGATGTTTGGTGGCTGAATCTGTGGGTTGGGAAAACTTTGGGGAGCAGTTTGTCTCTATGCTGAGGTTGGGGCAGCTTGAGGCCAACGGGGCTGAGGTGACGTCTAGTTGTTCAAGATGGTGGTGTTATCCCTGGCTGCCTTTGGCTGGGAAGGCAGCTGGAACTCCCCTACTGGAATGTCCCTTGGGTAGCAGTTGGAACCCCTCCACCAGCCCACACTGGAACACCAGGGCTAGTTCTGTGGCTTAGAGTCCTCAGGGGTAAGAAAGAGTCCCAGGGCTGAATTCTGAGAGCGTTTTCTAATTTCGTGTTGAAAGTTGCTTGGAATTCCTTTGTCATGCTCTGTTGGCCCTTCTCTGTGAATGACTGAAAGGATGGCCTGTCCAAAGACAGTATATACTGCTCTTTTTCTGCAATGGCTTGCGTCTCCCACTTGAAAATTTTAGTACCTGCTGTTGCAGAATATTTTATCTCATTGTGAACCCTGAGACTGTGAACTGTAAAACCTGTCTCTTGTTTGGTGTGGTTGAGCCCTAGCACACACCTTTAATTTCATTGCTTAGCTATCTCTTCCTCCCCACTGTGGGTAATGACCCTGCACTCACCATGTTAGAGGCTTCTGGGATTGCAGGAGCTCAAATCAGCATCCAGCAGCAGAGCTCAGAGCATAGAACTCGGAACCAGTTAAGCCTGTTCAGCTAAATCTAGTTCTCATGGGCACAGAGGATTAGCCATCAGCTTTTTTTTTTTTTTTTTTTTTTTTTTTACCAGAGAAACTGAAAAGCTGTTGGTGACCCTTTAGGAGCAAGTATGCACAGATCAGGCAGCCCTGAGCTTGCTGCCAGCCTGATCCAGGCAGGAGACTCCCAGCTGCAAGTGCCAGGCTCCAAGGAAAGAGACAGCTCGTTTTTGCTGTCCCAATTTAGCTGCTTTTGTCTGCAAATCTTTGCGATGAACTAAAATAAGTTAAGAAGTAAACATCTTCCTTCTCCAGACTAGAAAGAGCATGGCTGTGTCCATGCTCTTCCTGAGTCACCAAGGTCTAGACCGTACCAAAACCAAACCAAGAAACACACACACACACAAACAAAAAACATCAAGAAACCAAGAAAAGAAAGCTTACTTCCTTATGGAGGAGCGGCTGCTTTGCTGGCATTCATCCTTCAAACTGGGAGGTGGTCTAGAGTAGTAGGCAACCTCAGTGGGGCCTCCGTGTGCGACAGTGCAAGGATGGCCGCCCAAACACTATGGATGATTTATTGAACACAACACCCCCAAACCTGAAGACTGGCCACGACCAGGGACACAGAAAGGAACTCAGGAGCTTAACTGTGACTTTGACTCATTTTTCACAGTCAGTTTATAAACGCAAAAACCGCAATTAGCTCATACAGAGGGCGGATGGTGAAACAGGGTGGTCAGCTCTGACTCAAGTTACTTTGTTAACAAGCAGTTCTAGCTAACCTTGAAAGTGTGTCTGGCAGTTGGGGAGCTGTGCTTATGGTTGGGAAGTTTCTAGGAACAACAAGGCCAAAGAGTATGCTGAACATAAGCACCGTTTTTGGTCAATCTGACCTGTATAGAGATTTTTTTTTTTTTTTTTTTTTGTCAGCAACAAGTTGAGATGATGTGGCTGCTGGTGGGCTGGAAACAAATATGGCTATACTTATTCCAAAAGGACCAGGTCTCAACAATAGACAAAATATATAAATGTTGTTTTTATTTCCTTGGATGAGGGGATGAGATGAGAGCCTTTCCGAAGCCTTTCTTGCTCTTTCTGAACATTCTTTGGTTGTTTCAACTAAGCTGATGTGGCTTAAACGCTGACTGATTCAAGCTGGCTTCTCTTGACTCCTGACTGAATTGCCCTGCTTGGCTTCAAACTAATTCTGGCAATATATTTAAATCTTCTGGCTCCTTCTTATTCTCTCGCTCACTTTTGTCTTCACCTGTTTCTATCTCATTCTCTCTGCAACCTGTCTCTGTAAAACTGTCCCAGTTTAAAAACAAAAACAAAACTTTTAGTAAAAAAATTCTCTTCTCCATGCATGGTCCTTGGTTGGAGTATCGGTCTTCTCAGCCTCAGTGGGTTCCCTAGTAAGGGGAACAGGGACTGTCTCTGACATGAACTCATTGGCCGGCTCTTTGGCCACTTCCCTCTGATGGGGGAGCAGCCTTACCAGCTACACAGGAAGACAATGCAGCCAGTCCTGATGAGATCTGATAAGCTAGGGTCAGGAATAGGAAGGGGAAGGTCCTCCCCTATCAGTGGACTGGGGAAAGGGCATGGGAGAAGAGAGAGAGAGAGGGTGAGATTGAAAGGGGACAAGGGAGGGGCCACAGCTGGGATACATAGTGAATAAACTGTAATAACAAAAATTCTCTTCTCTCTCCTTGTGCTGCTCTTAAGTAGCTTCTGTTTCTGTTCTGTTCTCATGAAAGTTGGATATATCCTATCTCTGCCTCATTCTGTCAGATCTTTCTCTGATTCATTGCTGTGTCTTCCCCTCTATTAGAGGTCACTTTCAAACATGGCTACTTCCTTCTAGAACTAACCTTACCTTTATTGTTTGAGATTAAATGTGTGTACTAAGGGTGTGTATTAAGGGTGTGTCTGTATTCCAGCCAGATCATATTGTAATCCGGAGTGTGTCTGCATTCTAGCCAGATCACAGAGACCTAGAAGGTTTTTGGACGTGATCCCTTGCCAGAGCAGCCATGTTGCTGAATTAAAATTCCTCTATGGAAAATGGAAGACACAAAGGCGGCTTGTGAGACTTCCATGAGAAATCAGCCTTGAGTCCAGGGATGATACTCCAGAGCTCTTTGCTGAATCCTCTTGGTGCTTTCTTCTCCTTTCACCTCTTCTTCCTTCTTTTTTCCCCCAGAGAGAAAAATTACCTATTTGTATCTGAGTACTTCCACAGAGAACTTTTAAGGTCCAGTGGCCTCACTCACGTTTACCTCTCTCTTTCTCCCTGTCTCTCTCATATAAATAGAAATATACATATAATGTAAATATAAATATAATATAAATATACATATACACACATGTATAATATGTATAATATCCACACACACATATTTTGAAAACTGTTTTGGTTACTATTAATCCAAGCAAAAGAGCAGTATTTTGTTACTTCATTTCCCTTGAGTCTGAGTCTCCTGTGTTTCACTGGGATTTGTGATGCTGTTCAAGCCACGTTTGCAAATCTCTGAGGTAAAGCTTCTCACCTTGGAGTGCCTGGGGCGCTATACCCAAGAATGCCTCTGAGGCTTTTGTGACCTTATGGTTTAATCTGGCAACTACAGTATCAGCTTATGTGTTTCTGAAGTCTTAGCATGTGGCCATAGCCGTGGTCATTGCTGGGTCTTCACACCACGTGTTCTGAGCAGCAGCCTGGATTTGATGCCACCTCGGAAGGTATTTATTTTAGAATCATGAGGTGGAGGTTACAAACGGGAAGAATTTGGAGTCAGCGTATGGCTTCATGCTTCATTCTCCTCCTTCCATCAGTTCCAATCCTGCCTGCCCTTAGCTGAGTCCCTGCTCTTCCAGACTTCATTATCAGTTTCCCACTGGCCTCGAAGCCCTTTCCACTTGTGTTTTTTCTAGGCCTAGGTATTTCCACCCTCATAACCTGTTCTTAAGTTACATTGTTCACTACTAAAAAATGTAAACCCCTGCTTTTTAATGTTTGTACTGTCATGTTACATGAGTATACACGCGTAAATGAGAGCTGAGGCTGTGGCTGAATGGGAGAGAGCTCACCGAGCATGAGCCAGGACCTGCTCCAAACATGTACACACACACACACACACACACACACACACACACAGAGAGAGAGAGAGAGAGAGAGAGAGACAGAGAGAGAGAGAGAGAGAGACAGAGCAGGAATCAAATGATTTATAAGTTAGTTGTTAAACTTATTTTACTTTTAAGCATTATAAGGAGCTTGTGAGCTGCCTGACCACGTGCTGGGACTTGAATGGTCCTCAAGAACGGCAGAGAGTGCTCTCCAGCCCCTGTAAACACAAACCCTATGATAGTTGTTACCGATTCCAAATACTGAGAACTACGGAATGCTTTTTCACGCATTTAAATTGTCCTCTGAGATACTGGTGTGAAGCAAGAGTGCCCCACATAGAACGGGTGGTCGGATTCTGATTTTTAAGTAACACAGCGCTTCCGCTTGCTTTAGGGAGAGGCAGCAGCTGAAGAACACCCAGCGTGGGTCCAGGAGACTCCCAGGGCCTCCTTCCTCACCGAGATGGACCTTGAAATGACAAGGATCCAGTCTGCCATCGCCGAAGCCAACACCCGGGAACGCTCGGTTAAGAAGGAGCTGGCGGTGATGAAGCAGCTCTACCAAGGAGAGTTAGAGCGCATAGACGGCATGTGGCTGGACGTCGTCAAGAGTAGAAGGGAGCCAGCGAGCCGCGCTCATGCCTCGCCGCTGAGGCCCACTCCGAGGACCTGCCTCAGGCCTCGTGTCGGCTGTGGAGGCCCACTGCACCCTGGGAGGCTGGAAGGCGTGTTGAGCAAGCCCGGACGCTAGTCCAGGACAGTTTCTCTCCCTTCATTTTTCATTACATATAGCATTTCCTGCCTTGCTGTCCTCATGCAGTCGATTCAGTTGATGTGATGTTTGCATTATTGTAAGTTGTGTAATTATAGGTTAAATTTCAGAGTTCGCATAAATGTAAACATCAAGCGCTTAACTGTTTTTGGAAGATTATAACCCAAACCCAAGCCTTCAATGCTGACACCACTCTGGGCACATTCATACACGGGTAATTTCACTTTGCTGTGATTTTCATTGTTGCCGCTAGAGGAAGCCTGGAGAGTGGAGTCTCTCCCAGAATGCATTGCTGGAATACAGGGAAAGGACCAATTACACAGCGAGGACCAATAGCGGAGCTGGAGTAACAGAACTCCCAGCGTGACTAGGATAATTCCTCGTTCCGTGTGGCTGGGAGTGTGTGGTGGACAGAGAGGGCAGGCCGCCTTGGTAAGGATGTGCGAGCAGCCCGGAACCTGTCCCGCACTGTCCCTCAACTCCATGCTGCTGTTCTGCAGGATTCCTGAGACCAAACGCTTCCTGCCTATGCAAGGATGAACACGTGAAGAAACGTGATACTGATCATTTTCCTTGGGGGGGGGGGGGTTTAAAAAAAATCTACAGACCGGTTTAATAAATACAGACCTTCTTGCCCATCTTCCCGGTTTAGTTCTAGCTATTGTATGTATTTGGGAAGCGATGCTTTGATAAATTGATGCCTCATGAGCTGAAGTGCCTGCTGTAAGCAAAGCCACACATTCACCTTATACAGCTGCAAGCACAAGCAACAAGTGTTTAAGCACAAGTGTTTCTTTTTTATTAGTTGTTGGGACAACTTCATACACGCGCACAGTACATTCCTGGCGCATGCTCTCTCTTATCTCCCTCTCACTCCTGTCAACCTTCCTCGTTCCCTACTTTCCTCTCTCCTAGAATTCCTAACTTCTGGGTTTGTTTTGTGACCAATTTAGTTGAAGCAGGGCCATCTGTGTGGCCACTGGATTGCAATCCACTGGAGCCTGGTGTTGTCACACGTGGGCACACAACCGAAGGCAAGGAACCCTCTTTCCCTAAATCTATCCTTAGCAACTCGTTCGGCACTAGGGTGCGAGGCCCCCTGAGCCACCCCGCTTCCCTTCCGGGCTGTTGCTGGCCCTGTTCCTGTGCAAACCCCGGGGAAGGCCTGTGCAGGTGGGAGCCCGTGGCTACCGTGGCTGTGCCGGCCAGAAGACAGATTTGGGAGCCTCTCTCCTGCCTTCTGTTCGCCAGAGCCCTGGAGGGGAGTGGGATCTTAGCCATGCTGAGGGCTGAGCCATAACCTCCCTTAGTCAGCACTGTGGGGACAGCGTTTCCAGGGACGCCCTGAAGGGTCTCCTCTGCAGTGCCTCCGAGGGCCGCAGGGTTCCCGGAAAGCTTCCACTTCCTGTCATTCTGGACCCACCTCAGAAAGTACATGTGTTATTATATAGCACATGTGTTAATTATAGTATTTATAATTATGTATAGTATCATAATTATATAGTATGTAAAGATACATAGCTATCTCTTTGGAATGGATACAGGAGAGGCTCATGGGCCCCACAACTTACCTCTCAACTACCTGCTCTCGATAGATCCAGGGAAAGAGGGAGTCCTTGCCTTCATTTATGTGCCCGTGACAATACCAGGCTCCGAATATACATAATCATCTAAATATGTATCTTTTTATTAAGGTATTCAAAAGCTTTACATCCCAATAACAGCTTCCCCACGCTCCTCTCTGCCCAGTCCCTTCCTCTCATCTTTCCTCCTCGTTTCCTCCTCAGGAAGGGGTGGTGGTGGCTTCCATTAGACACCAAGCAGCCTTGGCTAATCAAGTTGCCATAAAACGAGGCATGTCTTCTACTGAGGCTAGACACAGCAGCCCAGTTGGGGGAAAGGGATCCAAAGGCAGGGAGTGTAGCCAGAGCCGTCCTGCATCCGCTTTAGCGTCCCACAAGAAGCCCCAGCTGCACAGTCCGTCGCCTGCAAGCTCTCTGCTTGGTGGTTCAGTCTCTGTGAGCCCCCACGGGCCCAGGATAGTTGATTTTGCAGGTTTCCTTGTGGTGTCCTTCACCCCTTTGCCCTTTCACTCCTTCATCCCCCTCTTCCACGGAGCTGCCAAGCTCCACTTAATGTTTGGCTGTGTGTCTCTGCCTCAGTTTTCATCAGCTGCTGGGTGAAGCCTCTGTAATGACAGTTCTGTCAGACTCCTGTCTGCAAGCAGAGAATATCATTAATAGTGTCAGGGCTGGGCTCCCTCTCTTGGCACAGGGCTCAAGCTGGGCCACTCATTGGTTGGCCCTTCCCTCAAATTCTGCTCCACCTCTACCCCTGCACATCTTTCAGGCAGAACCAATTGTGGGTGTTAGATTTTGTGTCTGGATTGGTGCTCCAATCCTCCATTGAAAGTTTTGCCTGGTTACAGGAGATGGCCAATTGGCTCCATAGTCACCACTGCTGAAAGTCTTAGCTAGCTAGGGTCACCCTAAGAGAGTCCTGGGAGTTTCCATTGTCATAGGTTTCTAGGCTGTCCCAGATGTGGCCCCCAAATCCAGTTGTCTGTCTCAGTCCTCTCTCCTCCACCCCCTCCTTGTTCCCATCTCCACCCCCTTCCCCACCCAGTCCCCTCCCTCCTCCCACCCCCTGATGTCTAATCTATTTCCATCTCTCAGTGAGATTCAAGCATCCTCCCTTGAGTCCTTGACTTCATTGGGTCTGTGGTTTGTAGCATGTTTATCCTGTACTTTATGGCTAACATCCACTTAGAAGTGATAGAAGCTTACCTTTCTGGGTCTGGGTTACCTCACTCAGGATGACCTTTTCTAGTTCCCTCCATTCGCCTGCAAATTTCATTATTTCCTTGTTTTTAATAGCTGAGTAGTATTCTGTTGTGTAAATGTGTCACGTTTTCTGTATTCATTCTTCGATTGAGGGACATCTAAGTTATTTTCAGATTCTGGCTATTATGAACAAAGCTGTTATTAACAAACAAGTGTCCTTGTATGGTTGAGTATCTTTTGAACTTATGCCCAGGAGTAGTATAGCTGGGCCTTGAGGTAGCACTATTCCCAATTTTCTAAGAAAGTGCCAGATTGATGTCCAAAGTGGTTGTATAAGTTTGCATTCCCACCAGCAATGGAGGAGGGTTCTCCTTTCTCCACATCCTCTCTAGCATGTGCTGTCACTTGAGATTTTGATCTTAGCCATTCTGACAGGTGTAAGATGGAATCTCAGAGTCAATTTGATTTGCATATCCCTGATGACTAAGGATGTTGAACATTTCTTTAAGTGCTTCTCAGCCATTAGAGATTCCTCTGTTGAGAATTCTGTTTAGCTCTGTACCTCATTTTTAATTGAGTTATTTCTTGCTGTCTAATTTCTTGAGTTGTATATATTTTGGTGAAAATCATTTCCCATTCTAGGCTGCCTTTTTGTTGTTGTTGTTCTATTGATGGTGTCCTTTGCTTTACAGAAGCTTTTCAGTTTCATCAGGTCCCATTTATTGATTGTTGCTCTTAGAGCCTGTGCTGTTGGTGTTCTGTTCAGGAAGTTGTCTCCTGTTCAAGGCTCTTCCCCACGTTCTCTATCACATTTAGTGTATCTGGTTTTATGTTGAGGTCTTTGATTCACTTGAAGGTAAGGTTTGGTTTTTTTTTTTTTTTTTTTCCATGGGGCTATTTGCATTTTTCTACATGTAGACATCCAGTTAGACCAGCACCATTTGTTGAAGATGCTATCTTTTTTCTATTATATGGTTTTGGCTTCTTTGTAAAAAATCAAGTGTCTGTAGGTGTGTGGTTTTATTTCTTGGTCTTTAATTTGATTGCATTGATCAATCAATCTATTTCTATGCCAGTACCATGCAGTTTTGTTACTATTGCTCTGTAGTACAGCTTGAAGTTGGGGATGGAGATACCTCCCGAAGATCTGTTGTTGTACTGGATTGTTTTAGCCATCCTGTGCCGGGTTGGTGTCCGGCAGGTAGTGTTGAGAGGAGGGTGGCCCGTCCAGCTGGACGCCCTCCGTGGCTGAGCGGGATGGCGAGTGTCCACGGCCCAGACCTCCCCAGATGTCCCAGGGAATGAAACACCACTGAGCCAGATCTGTCGAAGCAGGAACTCGGTTTATTGAATTAAGCAGTCCTTTTTATAGGTTTGGGTCAGGGGGCAGGGTTAAGGAAGTGAGGTAAGATGACCTAGAGGGCAAGGTTAGGTAGTGCAAGGAAAGGTAGGCCAGCGACAGAACTCCACATAACAGTTACCAGGCAGGGTTAATTTTAAGGCAGATAGGCTGAATCACTTTTGCCCGGAAGTGGAGCCTCTTAAATCGGAAGCTAAAGACAGGTCTCCAAACTCGAGCCAGGCTCAGGTAGATGCAGCAGGCCTTATCAGGCCCAACATTTTCCCCCTTTTTCTTTTGTTTGACAGTGGACATGGCCCCTGTCTTAGATTGTCCTTCACATGGAGATCTTACCCGTCATTGAGTACCATGTAGCCAGCTTGTCAGGAGCTCCTCCAGGAGCTGCCTTAGGTCACCCCAGCACGTCTGGGATCTTACCCGTCATTGGTCAAATGGAGGGCAGAGGAGGGTCTTTCCTAAGAAGATGCCTGGGCATAGGTGGAGTTGGATGCCTGGGTAGCTAGCCTATGATAATGTGTTTCTACTGGATATAGCTTGATTGCTTCTAACCTCTGATGGATAAACTGTACAAGCTTGTTAAGAATGCATGGCCCAAGGGTAAGTAGGAGAAGGAGGAGAAGTAAGGGTTGGAGTAGGGGAAGAATATAGAGCAGGAGGCCATGAAAGCCAGTCCACAGGGTGTTTTCTTGATATTCTTGGTGTCATCTCTCCAAATCTTCTCGGAGGATTTTGATTTTATCTCTGACAATGCCCGATTTGTTGGCATGGAAGCAGCATTTTTCCTGCAAAAACAAGCAGATACAGCCTTTTTTGGCAGTTAGTAGGTCCAAACCCCTTCTGTTTGGAAGAACTACCTCCACCAGGGAGTCTAACTGGTCTTGCAGGTCTTTTATGGTGCTGGATACCACTTGAACGTCATCAATTAGCTGTCAGGATAGCTTGACGTAGGCATACAAGGCTACGCCTAGCCTGGGTGTGCCTGTAGACATACCAGCTGTAACTCCCAGGCCAACCAAGAGGGCGATCATCTGTATTGCCCTCTTGGACCTCCCTCCAATGTAATCGAAGGAGGGTAGGGGTACGAGCTCATCCCCAGGGATGATATCCACATCAGGGAGTCAGGTGGCCAGGGTGCAGAGACCCATCCTGTTAGGAAGCAGGTAGGTAACGACCATCCCTCCCCTACAAAGGAGCATCATTCGGGGGTGGGGTGGGGAGAAGGGATTTCTCCAGGTGGAGATGGGGTGATAGAGGGAGGGGTG